TTTTATAATAAAGCAATTGTTTTAAAAATGATATAAATGAAACACTACAGAAACAAATGTAAACAAACAAACAGCTGTTTACAATTTGGTCAACCATTCACAATAGTACAAATTTTTATCGATCAAGTTACACAATAGCAAAATAAAAGATGATCGACTCGATCGACAAATTTCTATTCTACTGCCAGTCGACACTCGCAATAGGGGTGATTATTAGTAAGCATAATATTAACGCATACTTGGTCCAGCATACCATCAGCCAGATTAAGACTGATTTGATTACTGGACAAGTCAGCTCTTATGGCGAGTTAGACACCACCTCCCTTTTCGTGCCCGGTGACACTTGAGTCGTGATCTTTACGGTAGACGTTGTAGTACTCATCGAAGTATTCACTTGAAGAAATATTGTCGTTAAGCCAAGTTTCAGTAATGGCAATTAAATCGTATTCATGTAAAGATGAGCAGCGATAAAGCTGAGACGTTTTGGTACGCATGCCGCCCATATCACAGCGAACGGCAGTGCGCGCGAGTGACGAAAGCAGCAACAGTAGCATGCTGAAATGACTCGCTTATATATACACGAGATTTGGAAGTTTTTATCCAGACGTCCAATCGGCATGTTTGATATATCGTTGGAAAGGTCTTGCAGAGTGTGTCCAGAAAATATACTCAAGCTTCGTAAACCATTAAACGGATTCTTAAAAATTAGGCTAAAGTGTTGCGAAACAAAAAATGTTTTTTTGCTTTTGCCGGTGTAAGAGGGCATATGGGCACACCCAACATATTTAGTGTTATTCTATAGGCCAATACCTTTCAAGCGATACCTTATATATTAAGTTCCGGCCACTAGTTGGAAAGGTATAGAGGTAAATGTGTTTTGGTTCGTGTCTCCACTACGAGATGCTTTGGTATGTATGTGGCGTCTGTACGTATCATCATTTAATTTTTTTCAAACTTTCAGGAATTAAAGTACACAAAAAACTAAGAAGGTTTTGTTCCAGGATGTTTTGATTCGTATGCCTGTGTGGGCGTGGCTGCTGCCTGAAATTCGAAAAAAGGCAATTTTTTAAACTACCACTGAGGCCGCACTACTCAGTCCATGTCATTGATGTGGATATCAGTAGAAGGGTCTTCAAACAAGCTATCTAACGCTATCTTTTGTGTTTATAAAATATAAATACGCCATAACGTTATCGCCTGAAAACTAAAAATCGGGCTGCTGAAAATAGAGATTTCGGGCATTTTCTCAAAAACTGGTCAGTCGATTTTATTCTGAGTTTCCACAAGTCTAGCCCAAAACCTTAGCTTTTATCTGGTATATAGCTTATATCTGGGAAAACTCTTGTTGTGGAGATATTGCTATTCAAATTGAAAAAATATCGCTCCGAAAAGGGTCAAATGGCTAAATATTAACATATCCGTCTAATTTGGTTACTCTAAGATATATCTAAAAATAACACACCCAGTTCCCCGAAAAAAATCGCTCATTCCCCGATTGCCACTTAAACCGAAATTCCCTGCAAATCGGGGAATTTCCCGCGAGTTGACAAGTTGAAGGATGCAGCTGTCCTAATCACTTCGTACATGTCTTCGAAACCACAATTTGTGTGTATTTTAGAGTTTTTTTCAGTCACATGCCGAAATTGTAACATTCTTCCCCATTTTAATTGCAGGTATGTACACAGTATTTAACTATGCTACATGGGTTTATCACCCGCACTTAACCTACCTGGTAGTTGTACATAAATATGTATGTATGAATGCATTTAGTTCACCCAATGTGCCGCTACTACTTACATACATATGTATAAATTGCCACTGAGCAAAACTACTTGAGAAAAAATCATTAGTTTAATAGCACGAGTGCAACACCGTACACGTAATAGAAGTAAAACTTCTTAAAAAAAAGTTCATGTGTGCGCCCCACACCCAGTAGAAATCTTAACAACAATTAAACTACGAGGCAATCAGACGAATACAGTTGTTTATTGTATCCAAAGTTGGTACCAAGTTGATAAGTTTTTATCATTTCTCATATTTTTTTTAATTTTTAATTTTTTCGAATACATATCATCCTTGATATCATCATATCCTTGATCATCCTTTTTCGCTTTATTCCGTATTCGAAAAACTATGTGTTTCAATAGACACATCGATTTGAATACATAATTTAGATTTAGAGAATATTTTTAGCAATTTATTTGAGAAAAATAAAACATTTAGTTTATTGTTTGTATTTTCGTCGATTTTAAATTTGCTACCCCAAAATAATTGATATCAAATAAAACACCTTTTTGAGGTAAAATTTTCGAGTGACGAAAGCTGAACTAGAAACACAAAATTTATGATATCAATTTCGTGACGAAAATTATACGCATTTTTTAACTTTTGCAACGATTCGTATGAATAAAAAAGATTTTCCCTACGAAAGGCAGTTAAAAAATGCGTATAATTTTCGTCTCGAAATTGATATCATAAATTTTGTGTTTCTAGTTCAGCTTTCGTCATTCGAAAATTTTACCTCAAAGAGGTGTTTATTTGATTTTGATAGTACAATAGATAATTATTGGCACGAACATTTTTATTGAGCTCACAGTTCGATGTGTTTGCATTTATGGTGCGCGGCAGCTACTTTTTGAGTGAACCGAAAAGGGCGTACCGTAACATTTCTAGGCCAGATGTGAGCATTGAGCATTTTATCAAACCACGTTTCAGGCACTCCAAGCTTGAATGATATACGTTTGAGCGAATCAATTGATGCATTTTTGTTCACTAGACTGTAGCAAAGAAGGGACTTTTTGTCTATGCCCGAGTACTTCGCAACATAGGCAGTAATGTTATCATTCGTGACAGTCGGTAAGAACGATGAGCCCCAATTTTTCTTCAGGACTATACAATTGATTTTATATATCTTGTACATACCAAGTTCCAGTACTCTACCGTGAATACTTCCAGAGTTATGCAGTGTGAAAAATTCGGTTTGTATGGAAGGTGCCACGCCCCTTTTCCCAATAGCCCCAATTTTTATTCATGACTATGTGATTGATTTTATATATCTCCATACCAAGTTCCAGTACTCTATCATGAACACTTAAGAGGCATGCAGTCCGAAAAATCCGGTTTGTATGAGAGGTGCCACGCCCCTTTTCCAATAGCCCCAATTTTTCTTCATGACTATGCAGTTGATTTTGTATACCTCCATATCAAGTTCCAGTACTCTTATCATGAACACTTCCAAACAGTGGCGGATTTACAGTAAAGGCAACACAGGCTGGTGCCTAGGGCAGCAAAATTTAGGGGCGGCAAAATTTGGGTTGAATAAAGGTTTTCAACTTTTAAAGAAAGCCATCATCAACAAAGTTTTTTCACTTGATAAGTTATAATCTCAAAAATACTAGACTAGTATTTTTAAATATTATCATTTAAATAATATCAAAAATACTAATTTAGTATTTAAAAATACTAATTAGTATTTAAAAATACTAAGTTAGTATTTCTAAATATTTAATTCTAAAATTTTTTTTATTCGCAAGAAAAGGGCTAATGTATAGTCATATTTCAAAAAGAAATCGGCTCAATTATTTTTTTCTACAGAAATGTAAAATATCGTTCCATAACTCGTACTTTTACCTCAGTTTGATAATTGTATTTCTTAGTATTAGAATAATAGTTCAGTTTATATTTCATGAATTACA